TGCATTAAGAAGAGTGTGGCCAGCAGCTCAAGGGAGGTCATCATCCCACTCTACTCTGCCCTGATAAGGCCACACCTGGAGTACTGTGTCCAGTTCTGGGCCCCCCAGTTCAAGAAGGACAGGGAGGTGCAGGAGAGAGTCCAGCAGAGGGCTACGAAGATGATTAGGGGGATGGAGCATCTCTCCTACAAAGAAAGGCTGAGAGACCTGGGGCTATTTAGCCTGGGGAAGAGAAGAGTGAGAGGGGACTTTATCAACACTTACAAATATATAAAGGGTGGGCGGCAAGAGGATGGGGCCAGGCTCTTCTCAGTGGTGCCCAGCGACAGGACAAGGGGCAACAGGCACAAGCTGGAGCACAGGAACATGAAGAGGAACTTCTCTACTCTGAGGGTGGCAGAGCACTGGAACAGGCTGCCCAGGGAGGTTGTGGAGTCTCCTTCTCTGGAGATATTCAAAACCCATCTGGACATGTTCGTGTGTGACCTGCTGTAGGCTAACCTGCTTTGGCGGAGGAGTTGGACCAGGTGATCTCCAGAGGTCCCTTACAACTCCTGCCATTCTGTAAGAGAAGTACAGAACATGGAATCGGGCAGCTATAGTTTTCATTCTTCTCCTGATGCGTTCCCTAAGCTATAAAGTGACCTTGTACAAGTGAACTTGCTTTTCCAAGCTTCTGTTTCCCCATTTACTTTTTGTTCCTTCTGTCTTGTAAGTCTAAGCTGAACATTCTTGCCACAACTGAGCTCCAGTCTATGTTGACATCCTAAAAGTCTTACTTAAACTACTAAGTTTTATTAAGGATTGCACAAATAGTATTACATTAACCACATCTGTATACTCACAGCCATTGGATGCTTCTACTATGATTTTCCTAACTTTTTCATTTAGATAAGAACTAAGCATATAAAGTGATGCCTTCACACTTCTCATTACATTTCTTTTTCAGGAGAGTGGCATTTGGGTGCCATCGTTTTCCGATGACATCTGCATTCCTGTGTCCTGTGGGACCCCACAGTCTCCAGAGCATGGATTTGTGGTTGGCACTAAATACAATTATAAAGACGTGGTTCATTATAAATGTGATTCTGGCTATGAAATACAAGTAAGCAAGCTCAAATCTCCAGCACTCTAAAGCTTTAGCTGTCATTTTCAGTTCTTATGTGATGACTCTGAGGATGTATTATGTCTGTTCCATATTGAATTATTCCCTTAACTCCCACAGAAGCTGGATATCTGCTGTTGTTGTTATTGTCTGTAGAATGCTCCTGGTATGTCTGGGATAGCCCTTGAATGACTTAAGGGTATAACTGAAGCAAATACAAGCATCCTGTTCAGAGTTCCATGTTCAGCAGATACCTTTCAGTGGTTTTATTTAACGGAAGGTTGTTTCAGCCCTCTGCAAATAGAGCGTTATATATCCCTGTGACCATAAATCATGGAAGAGTTACTTTCTCATGTGTTGCTCTCTTGAACTAGTTCTCTGGGCTGGAGTTAGACTGCATTCTTCCCTCAGTTTCATAATGTCCCATGCATTATGTCTGCTGCATTGAGCCTCTCAGATTCACAGCACCTGATAAACTTCGCTGCCCTCAGTTCTCTGATATTGCTAGGTGGTATGAAAGTGATATCTCTTGTTTTGCTAAGGCAAAGAGATTCCAGTTTGTTCAATGGCGGATTTATTCCCTGATGGAGAAGAGAACAAAGGTCTTTTCTGTACATTGTTTTTGTTTGGATTGGGCACTTATCCTCACCTGAGCTCTGGAGCAGCACTGCTGTCTCATTATCAGGTCTCAGACTAGCCAGTTCAGAGCTGTGTCAGGTGTGTTTTCAAAAGCTGCAGTGAATTCAGAAATTAATGTGTGTATATTTCTGAGGCACAGCATGGCCTCCATCATTCCCAGGTGATGGCAGAGTAGGGGCACAGCCATGTCCAGAGGCATGAGGTGGTAAGTTGTCTCCAGGACAGAGGCTGGCTCTTAACACTGTGTTTTTGTGACTACCAAGCAGAATGCAGGATTGTGCTTCCTTTGTACTGTCCTAACACCAGTAATAAAGAACTTCATGCATGTGAATTCACCCCGTCAGGATTGAATTCACTCAGTCACTCAGTATAAAAATGAGAGTTTAGAGAACAATAAATTTAATTTGCGTTATGTTGCCATGTATGTAATATCACTGGGGATGGAGAGTTGGGTTGGTATTTAGACGAACAGGTAGAATTGCTGTTTCAAGTATTTGGAGGTAACAAGCCAGTGCTTTCATACAGTAGAAAGTCCTTCCAAGCTTTGTATTCCAGCTTCGCCACCTAGCGTCTCTTTGTCTCACTGCTGTCCTGCTTTTTGCCATTTGGGAAGCAAAATCCGTTGGATGTGATGCCATACAAAACTCATGTCAAACAGCTCCCCCCTGGGTTTGCTTTGTAATGAAAGTATGTTGCTTCAAGGAGCAAACATAGATGTTCTCCATGTCTTGGAATAAAATAAGAAATAAATTCTGGGCTATTAGACTGGCTATAAAGCCTGTATGTGAGAAAGAAATAACATTATTTATAAGAAAATTTAAAGAAAGAGTGTTTGGAATGTGGTCAAAATCAGTTCGTTATGTTTATAAAACACAAGATTGTACTGTTGTTGGAAAAAATGCTACTTAGATTTTCTGTAAGTGAGTCCTGGAAGGAGAAAATTTGTCATCATAACACATTGCTGGAACAAGAATGGTAAAATTGACAAGAAGGATGATAGTCCAGGGAGAAGGACAAGAGAACTGACTAACTGACCCCACAAACTTTTGGTTTATAAACAATACCCATCACTTTGCAGAAAGAACTTCTACTCTAAACTCTGCTAGTAAACACGGGCTGTAGCATTTAACTATATAATTACATGGATTGCACATGGAGGGAAAATGTCCTGGTCTTGCTGGATACTAGAACTGATGGGAGAAAAAAAGTTGACTAAGTAAAGTTGATCTTTGAGCATGTTATTTTGTTTCACAGGGTGATGCAGAACGGACTTGCCAAGAAAACAGGCTTTGGAGTGGGACAGTGCCAGTGTGCAGAAGTACGTTCCACCTGAGTTTATCACTTAAATGTTGGTCAAGGGTGATTTTACACAAAGGAAAATACTTCTGCTTATTTTGCTTTATCACTCATACTGTCTGCATTTGCCTAAAAATTTTTGGTAAGTACCACTGATAACAGCCTGGAAGAGTTGCAGAATTGCTGGTGTGTGCAGGTAATAGTGTGAAGGAAATCACTACACTTTTCTGCTTTGCTTCTATATCCCTAAGAAAGCTGTGCAGACAGCTTTCAAGTCTAAATAGTTATGACACTTGAGGTCATGTCTCTGGGGTTACTGAGGACCTCTGAACATGTTAGTTGCCAGGAATCACGGGTACTTAGCATCCTAAAATGTAATTCTAACGATACTCATTCTCAAAGGTACTTCATTTCTGTGAGATGCCTGATGCCCACTGACTGCAGTGACAAAATAGGAGTTGTCTGCATAAATACTTAGTGGACTTCAGCTGCTGGCTGTAAGTGGCAGCAGTGGAATTTCCCGAGGCTTCCTGCCAGCACAGCCACGCTAGATTTTGTCTTTTAGCAGAAACTGGAAGCACCAAGCATGATACTGTTCATCTACTCAGGGACGAATATCTGGGAATGTCCAGATAAATGCTGTATAATCTTTCCCTGTCTCTCAGAGTAAAACCTTTGAAGGATCTGTGAACAGGACAGACCGTATGCATTATGTCTGATTGGAACATACTCCTTATGTTGTAGGACTATCATGTGGACCACCGGACATGATAGAAAATGGATCTGTTCAGGGAGAGGAGTACCTATTTGGCAGTGAGGTTTTTTACAGCTGTGACCCTGGCTTTGAGCTACAGGGACCAAGCCGAAGGATTTGCCACGTTGACAAAAAGTGGAGCCCCTCCGCCCCTGCATGCATACGTAAGTAGCAAGCAGAGCAACATGGTGGCAGTTTTCCAGGAGAGCCAGGGAACAAACTGAGACAGTGCTTTTGCTGGCTTCCTTCCAGTCTCCCCCCGCACCCCCCTGCCCCAGCTCCAGCTGGAGGGCTGTAACAGGTGGAGCCAGAGCAAAAGCCAGAAGAGAAGTTCTCACTGGCAGTTCCTCTCTAATTTGAAGTGAGCTCATTTTGGCATGTTAAAATGACACAAGCATAGAGTTGTGCTCAGGTCAATTGGGGAGGGGCGTGACCTGCTGTGTTGATTGGCCTTGCATTCTGGTGTGCAGGGCTTTGGACGTCATGTGCTGGGACGGTTTGTCTCTGCCATGGCAATGCTAGTATATCCTGGCCACTCTGTATGACTGGAGATCAAGACTCTGCTCCTTAGGACCAAATCTTGTACAGCAGGTGGTGATAAATTGTGGGAGCATGTAAAGAAGGATTTATGACTTAGTTCATACAGCTTATAAATAAACCGGCGAGATTTTATAGTCTTTACCGATGAATCATTTCCCATCTTCTCATGATGATGTCATAGTCCTACCCCTTGCATTCTTCTCTCTCACCTTTGACAAATTTGCCTGGTCTCCACAATAATTGTGGGACAGGGGGCAAGATCCTTCTTAACTACTGTCATTTTTCTTGAGATCACCTTCCACTGTACAGGGAGCAAAGGAAACTGCAAATGCACCTCTGGCCTGCTCAGTAGAAATATTCCAGATCACTCTGAAAACATCTCATAGCTTACACACCACCAGATGCATTTGGGCACATTCCCTCTCAGGTGTCTGCAGCCTGAACCCCAGGAGAGAGGGCAGGCAAGTCATTGTATAACCCTTCTCCCTATAATATTTCCCAGCTTCTTTCTTCCCATCTTTCCATTAATTCAGTGCATGGACAGAGCTGTCGGACAGTGTGTTACAAATACAGTGACCTTCATTGTCTGTATGAAACCAAAAGGTTTTCTCCTCCTAGGAATTACTTGTGGGCTACATCCCTCAATAGAAAAAGCAGAGACTATTTCTACTGGAAGCACATACAGAAGTAATGTAACCTTTGTGTGCAACTCTGGATACCATCTTGTTGGGCCCCAGAATATCACATGTCTTGCCAATGGGAGCTGGAGTAAACCCTTGCCATTGTGTGAAGGTAACTGTTCGGTTTCATGTCCTGGCACGTTCCAATCTGGGATAAGCAATAGCTCTTCCCTAATGCATGCATATCATATGATCCAGGGATTGAGCTGCTTTTGAGAAACGATCCTGTAACTTGCATTAAAAATGGTGCCTGAAAAATGAAACATGTCACAAGGAGCACTAAGGTTTTAATCTATAGTTTAACCAGCTTAATGAAAGATGAGATTACTTGCTATTTCAGAAAATCAAACCCCTAACAAAAGGTGATGGACTGCAAGGACAAGTGACTTTTCTCCAAGCAGCCTTCTGTAGTCAATCATTAAGTTGATATTCTTTTTCTGCACTTAGGGCCCTAAGGACAGTCTCAACAGCTCAGCCTTTAACCTCTGTACTCCTCACATGAACGAACACTATGAATGCATGATGGGTACCATTTTGCAAATCACTGCTTTCAGATGTTCCCTCAGTAGGTCCTGTTGCTCATGCCACAAAGCAGAATGAGTGCTGAGCAAGAGCTGTCTGTGTCATGTGGAGTGGGCAGTAGTGGGTGGAAACAAGGCTGTCAACACAAAAAGAGAACAAAAAATTAAAACCTCAGATTTGAACAGATAGCCAGTACTGTTCAAAATGTAAAGCATTAGAAGCTTACTGAATTGCAGTATCATTAACTTTAAAGTAGGAGCGTTTGCCATTCCTGGACTCTGCCATGAAGATATGAAGCCTGGGCTTCACACTTTTCCCTTCCTCTCAGAAACGCACCAGTTCACTTCTTGCCCATCATACTTCCTTTCAGGCTGTTCTTGTCCCTGCTGCATATACCTCAGGTGTCCCAAGCTAGACTTTAAACCCAGCGTACTGCTTGCTTTTCATAGTGGCTCCCAGCATTCTTACATGGAGCTGACACCCAGCTGCACACACAGATTCAGAGAGGACCAGCATACTTTGACAGCTTCACCAAAGTGGGACAGATAATGATCTTCCACTCAAAGCAGATGTTAGGTTCCTATGACCAGAGCCATGAAAACTGCGTGAGGGCTCGGGACCATCAGATAGAGCACTGGGCAGCCACACAATGCACAGATCACAGTGCACTACAGTGCCCCAATACTTTGCAGGCCTTATAGTAGCAACCTGGAAAGTTGATAGGGGACATCCATGCAAGAGAGGTCTCCAGTACCTAGCCGGGTACTAAGAAAAGTCACTCACTAGCAGTGCTGAACAGATGTCAAGAAGACCATCTTGAACAAGCTTGAGCACAGCCAGTTCACCAATTCTTCTTTTCATCTTGCCTGACGGCCTTGTGTCTGACAGATAATTTAAGCTTCAGTCATCCCATTACACAGACCACCTAGGAAAATCAAATGGAAAATGAGAGACAGAACAGATGTCTAATGTAGCAGAGGTAACCCAACTTGGACTGTCTTCTTGCTGGCTTCAGAAACACAGCTGAGAATCTTGAGGGAAGCAATAGTTAAGTGTCAGCATCTTGCACCAAACCCATCCTGCATCTCATCTGCTATTTCTTGTCAGGTGAAAAGAAAGGCACAAAGGGCTGGAAGTTTCTGCGGTATCTCTCAATGGCAAGAAAGAACCATTTCTATGTTTTGCCCTACTGACCCCAGTATGAAGTCATAAATGTGTCCTCTCCTCCCGAGCACTGACATATTTGCTGACCTGAAAAACATGTGTCTGTGGCTTTTCTCCATCACTGGGAGGAGCTCCTTCCCTAGCTTGGCTACATTTCCTTCCCACTCTCCATCAGTGTTCTTCATGATTTATTAGTGTGTGGCTGCTACTTTAAAGATATTGTGTGAGTAACTCAGCAATTGTTGGCAGTCCGGGTGTAATATAAAGGTGAATTAATGAGAGCTCTTCCTTTGCAGAGACCAGATGCAAAGTTCCAGTTTCCTTGCTGAATGGGAAGGCGATTTATGAAAACAATACAGTTGGCAGCACAATAGCATATTTCTGTGAGAGGGGATACAGCTTGGAAGGGGAACCTGCAGCAGAGTGCACAAGAGATGGGAGATGGAGTAATCCCTTGCCTCTCTGTAAACGTGTGTGTTTGCTTTGTAATGAAAAAGTGGTCTCGATTTGTAAGCACTAAAGGCTAGGCTGCTCTTCATTTAAACTGACAGTAAATGAGAGCAACTTCTGCAGGTCTTTGTGGAAATGTACTGTAATTTTCTTCTGGAGTAGTCATGAGCAGAATTTGTCACTTGTAGTTTAAAAAAAAATGGTTTGGCCTACTTTGGGAGATTTGTTGGTGTACATCCCATTTTTATAGAGGAACAAAGGGAGCAGTTACTGAGACATGTTAAAGCATTAGCTTGTCCACAGTAAAACAATGACAGTAAAACAATGAGCTGTGTTCCGCATAGCTCCCTTTAGTTGCAAAGATGACATAAAATGGAGTCAATTGTAGTCAACCACTTGGTACATGGGGAACAGGTGAGAGAAAATTTTGGGGGAGAAAGCAAAAAGGAGACTTTGTTGTCTGCAACTGACTATTGGGAGGGTGCAAAGAAAAAAGAGCCAGACACTTCTCAGAGGTGCACAGTGGTAGGATGAGAGGCAATGGACACAAGTCGCAAGAAAGGAAATTCCAATTAAGTATTTGAAGAAACTTTTTACTATCATAACAGTCAAATACAGGAACAGGGACCCAAAGAGGATGTGAAATCTCCATGCTTGTAGATACTCACATTTCAGGTGGTCAAGTCTCAGAGCAACCTCTGACCGAGGTAGCCCTGCTTTGAGAAGGAAGTTGGACTTAATGGCTGTATAAATTATTCTGTGATTTTGTGAAATAGCACCTGAGGCACATGTGCACTGTGCACACACACCCACAGTAGCCTTCCTTGTTGCTGTATGTGTCTGTAACTAATTTTAAGATCTACTATAGTCTTAGAGTGGTTAATTGAGACTTTTAATTTTTGTATTACAAAAGACTCATAGCATTTTAGTTTCAGGAAACTGGCATCAATTTCTGCTGTATACAGAGTCCAACCCTTTCCACATTCATGATGAGAACAATAGACTGCAAAAATAGCTCAGCAAGCTTACAGCCAGCAATAAATAAGGTTATCAGAGAAATTCTAAACACTCGTAAATGTTGTTGTAAGTCTCTGCTCAAACACCTGGACTTTTGCTGCTCATTATTGGTCCAGCCCCTCAGAACAAGAAGTAGAATAGGTCTGGCTCTTTTTTACAGTAAGGTTATGGTAAACAGGAAGGACAAGAGAGAATGGTTTGATAGTATCAAGTAGAATATTCCGCACTTAAATCCTTAGTATGTCTACTGCTGGCATCAGCAGAATGTGGGAGCAAGCCATGTGACAGCAGATAATCAAACCTTTTATTATTATTTTATGACCCAAATCTTGTAACTTTACATCAAATTACAAATTGGGCTTGTGTGCAGCATCCATTTCTATTGCTTTTCATATAATTTGGTTTTGAAATTTGCAGAAATTGTTCTAAAGTATTCTCTTCCTTCCTTCCTTCCTTCCATCCGCTTTTCCTCCCTTCTTCTTTTCCCTCACACCCTTTCTTTGAACAGCAAACCCTTGTCCTGTGCCTTTCATAATCCCAGAGAATGCCCTTCTGTCTGAGGTGGATTTTTATGTTGGTCAGAACATATCCATCAGGTGCAGGGAAGGCTACCAGCTGAACGGGCAGTCTGTGATCACCTGTAATGCTGATGAGACTTGGACTCCAGCAACAGCTAAGTGTGAAAGTAAGTACATGAGATACAGTTCCGCAAGGACTTGGTACTTTCCAGAGGGCTGGTGACCACAGCTGTATCACACAGCAGCATGAGAGCACAGATGTGTCAGCAGAGCTCTCCACCTAGATGCAGTTATTCCAGAAGAGGGGAGCTTTTGTCTGCTATAGCCATTTTGAGAGGTGGGTCACTCCAAGAGATCCAGGCACATAAAGGCACCTAAGAAGCCCTACAGACGAGCTATTTCTTCTTTCTTTCTAACTGAGTTGTTTCTTTAAAAGGATCCAGAATATGTCTACGTGGGTTAATGCCCCAAGAGCATTTGTCCTACTGTCTACTAGGCCCTGCTGTAATTTTCTTGTCAATTCACCTTTTGCAAGCACTGGAGCTGGGATTAGTTGTTGGATACCCTAAATATCCTGAGAATGATTCCTGTGAGATTATGGGTGATGAGACAAGGGTTATAGGGAGTGGTGCTGCCTTTTATTGCATTTATTGACAGTGACAGAAGGCATAGTCTTCTTTTGCAGGCATGTCTGAAAGCTTTGGCTTCTTGCAAACAATATTGTTTAGTTCTGTCAATGACATCACCTAACTCTACAAACCCAGCCTTATGTATATCCTGGGACCATCTGAAAGTTGCTGGTCTGTATGGTGGATATAGCCATTGTTGCATTACCTAAAAGTGCTGTTCCTGGCCATTTCCTTGTTCACTGAGTGTATGTACAGGTTCTCCCTGTGAGTGCCTGCGCCACGAAGTCCTACTTCCTGATTTCCCATCAGAGGTGTCTCGCTCTGGCACCTCCCAGGTCCTTTGTGCAAAGTGCTGTGTCCAGGGTTAGAAACTGGATCATGTAGGCATTGCAACTCAAGAGCCTCTGGGTGATTTCTTTCGTTTAGAGATATCTTGCGGCCCCCCAGCTCACACAGAGAATGCTCTGATTCGTGGTAGCTTCTACCAGTATGGAGACATGATCACCTATTCATGCTACAGTGGGTACATGCTGGAGGGACCCCTGCGGAGCATTTGCTTAGAAAATGGAACATGGACAACACCACCTACCTGCAAAGGTAAGTTTTTTTTATGAACGGAAATGTATCTTAACTTGCCATAAGCAGGAAGATGTCATCCTAGCTGCAATAAAAATGACAGTGAAATTTTTGGTAGTTTCAGTGCAGTCATGGTTTTCACCCAGGTCATTTAAAGTGCTGGGTGTTGCTTTATTTCCAAGTGAAAGAGAGGGCTTGCACAATTTTTCTCTTTAGTCCTCACTAATCTTACAGTTTCTTTTACTACAGTCTTGTATCCCACACCTAAGATCCTCTCTCCTCACATCTTTTGTGAGAAGGTGAAGAACAAGTCATCATTTTGACATGCGAGCTGTTTCAGATAAGCACTGCCAGTCAGTTTTTCACAGTCAAAGATCAAGCACTGCAGGGAAACAAAAATAAGAGATCCAATGGATTCTTAGTCTCTCACTGTGTTTAGAGCTTGGCAGCTCCTGAAAATTATTTAGCATTAGAATACTTAAGGATAGGTTGATACAGCCCACTAAATAATATATACTAAGTACTGCAGAATATTCATGGTTTTAACAAAATACCAAAGACAAAGTCTAGCTTTTCCACCCTAGGCATACCTGCAGGAAAATGTCACTTTTTGGTTTGCTGAGCTAAAGAAGTCACTTGTTTAAATTACAGAATGAACTCTTCCATGTGGAAGATTCAAATACATAAAAAGTTTTGAACAAAAAATCGGGGAAATAAACACAAAACATAGAGGAAACGATAAGCTAAACAGTTCAAAACAGATATGAGGATCTTTAAACACTAACTTAAAACCAAGTATGAGGCGTGACAAAAGGGTTCCAGGGTCACAGGGCTGTGATGCAAGAGACCTTGCCATCTGCCATTTCTAAATTGGAAGCTTGACTATCCTTTTGCTTCTGGGTAGCTATAGAGCAGTGAGTTAGCTGCACTCTGGAGTTTTATCTCATATGGTGTAACAGCAACCATGCTACAAACTGAGCCTTAGCTATTTTGTTTAGAAATGTGAGTATTAAAAGGAAAAAAAACCTTATAGCACCTCACTGGCCACGCACAAGCAGCCCCATTCAGTAAGGTCAAGAACTCCCACAGAAGAGGAAAGGTGCCAGAACGCTCATCTGGGAACATCGGAGCCATCATCAAAGTTGTCAAGTCTGCCTCTCCTCCTGCATGTCACGGCTCCCCATGTTGAAAATAAAAGCAATGATACTTCCTCCCTTCTTGGCAATTTTCTGTTTAGGTCAGAAGCCCTTCGGAGACAGAGGATTCTATACTGTGCTAAGCCTGACTAATCAGGGTCTCCTCAGCAGCGTCTTTGTTTGAATTATGGCAGCAAAATATTACTAATGTTAAGACCTAGACAAGCTGACTTGCCCTAGTCTATGAAAGCAAGTACTCTGTTAAAATTCTGTATCTGATAGTTGTAATTGCCTTGCCTAAAAATCACAGATCATTTCAAGGAGATTGTTTTGAGGAGACCCAGAGCTAAAGAAGTGGGCTTGTAATTCCTAAACATTTCAGGAATAGAGAAGCTGCTCCTGAAAAACAGGTTTCTCCTGGTTATGTGGTCATGGCTTGCCATTGCCATGAAGAATCACCTGTGAAGTAGCCAAGTAGAGAATATTTACGGTAAAAGCTACCTGAGTTACTTTAGATGTCAAGAGGTATCAACAAATCCTGTTAGAAATTTACACTTCCGAAGCACCATGCCCTTTCTGAAAAGTTTTCCAAGTATCTCGTAATTTCTTTCTAAACTGTTGTGGCTACAGAATTCAAGGGATGTCTGCATAATAACTACTCTACCTAAGCTAGAATTCATTAGCAAAATTACTTGGATATTACCTCTTCAGATTGTAACACTTTGGATTCTTCAACTGCCCCTTTAATATCACCCGCTTTACTTTTTATTCTTATTTAATATTTATTAGTTACACAGAAACCTACTTTATCCAAGGACTGTAGTTTTCTGCTAGGAGAGATTCTTGCCACTGGTTATTAACAACCTGGAAGGGCCGATCTGCAAAGCACTGTCAAACATGTGTCCTGTTTGCAACACCATGGAGTCTACTGAGACTGTTCAGAGTTGAGTATCAGGGAAAATAACTTCAAGAAACAAAGTGATGAGGTGGACAGATGATCAGGGTGTAGTGCAAGAAAACAAAGCAGAATAGCCTGCCTTTTGGTGTTAGGAATAATAATTTCCCCACCTCTTTTCACCTAAAAGGGGAATTATAAAGACTAAAGATGTTTCTGAGAGGACTGACCTGTGTTTTCATGACTCATGTCAAAATAATCTTTCAAAACTGCTTTATAATTCATTTGAGAGATTTGCCTAACAAAAGGCCTACAGGACCCAAGCCTTTGTGGTCTACATCAGAAGCGACATGAAAGCACTCTTTGTAATGACTCATGCTGCATTTCTTGTTTTTGGCTCTGTGAGTTGATTATTAATGTGTCCTAAGCTGGCTTGAAATGTTCTGGCCCAGTTGAACAGGTTAGTTAATGTAAATATAATAATTAAAAAGCAGACTTTGTTAGCTTCTTTGGGAGAGCTGTCACCACAGCTGCACTTGCCTGAATCACTGCTGGTTAGAGGTTGCAGGCCAGATTCTGATCTGAGTTTCAGGGGTGAGAAGTATTAACCTGGATCTGCTGATCGTAAATACCTGCAGGACTCAGCAGGCTGAACAGATGCACACAGCTTGGCTGGCTCCATTTTTTTCTCTCTGAAATGCTCTAAAATCTGTTTTGTGTATTTGCCCTCTGCCCACATCTGGCTGACTGGGAGTGGTCAGCACGGAGCTGCCAACCAAAAAGTTCATACCCTGTCAGCAAACAGGAGCATTATGAGAGGGCAGCTGAGGCAGGGAGGAAATTGTTCACCTGCAACCACAGGAAAGCTTTTTGGCAAAGCTGAGAACAGATACCAGAAATTATTTTTTCCCCTTCTCACCCATGTTTGTCTTGCAGCACTGTAATGCTTTTGTGTCCTGTGGAGATAACTCTCAGGCATGGATTTACAAGTGAATCTCAAAGATTAAGATTGATACCGTGGATGTGAGATGTGCTACCACTAACTGAAGTCACAGTTAATGGTTCCCGTTCTCTCCCCAGTGCATCAGAACTGCAATTGCCCTGCTTGCTTTTACAACAGCAGAAAAAGAGAATGAGATTCCACCTTAACTTCCCGCCTCAAGGCTTTCTCTAGTCTTGTCTGTCGAGTGAAGAATAATCCCCACAGCTACAGACACAGAGTCTCTGCCTGCGTAAATTGGCGTATAACAAGTGCACACCTAGGAGTGATACTGTCTTACTCATTCAGTTTCATAACCAGAGCCAGGGCAGAAATCCAGAAAAAGCCTATCTCTGCATGAGATCCTGTATCACTGAGCAGGATAGAGTTGCCATCCAAAGCGATTTCTGTAACTCATGAAATGTCCACATCTTCTCCATTTACAGAGAGAGAGAAAATACGTTTCAGAGACCATTTTTCATGGGCTTTGAATTTTATGTGGAACATCATTTATACACAAACCTTTTACCTCCCATCCCATTATACATTCATGGGATATTGTTTAAGTGGTGTGAATCACACCAAGCTTTATATTTGATTCAACTTTCATAATTTTTCGTTACACAAAGGAAATCTGGTCAGCGCACTATTCTGCTTTAGTCAGCTCCCAGAGACGAGCTGTCTGCATAGTCATAGAAATCTTTAAGACAAAAATTGTTCAAAAAACCTGTTAAAATACTGCAACTTCTGTGAACCTGCTAGGGCCTAAGGTTTCTTCCCATTCCCATTATTAACTGACATTTGATGGGAAGGCTCTTCAGACTGAAAAATAAAATGGCATAAGCTTTGGCCCCATTTCAACAGACTCTCAGCTGCAGCTTGCAGCTTGGCATGGCTTAGCTTCAGGAGTGACTCAAGTCTGGCCCTATCAGAGGAAGATTTGCATTCCTTCCAATGTGGAGCTCAGGTCTGAACAGTGTTTCAGCGTGCTAAACCACTGTTTGTTTTTAATACTAACACTGAATAAGATCTGAAACACTCAAAGCCCAAACTAGTATTTTGCTTACCTAGTAACTAATTAAAGATAGGATAAAATAAACAGTTCATACTGAGTTTCCTGAGGTTACTCTGTGTTCATAACTACCACTAATTAGAAGTTAGTCTGATTACTTATTTGTTCTGTAGTATCATCTGGAAGCCACAATTTTTGATCTCTGTACATAGTATGAACACCACCATGACAAGGATTGTAATTCCTCCAATGACCTTTTCTAACATGTTTGTATTTAGCTTGCCACCCAATTTTGTAAAGTAGTCCTGGTTTCCCTGGACGTATTAGCCAAGGTATGGTGCAATATCATAGAAACAATGATAAAGCTCAAAGCCTGTCCAGTCCAAGCAACATATTGGGCTAGCATGATAGAGTCCACTTCAAATTCCTCACTTTTATGATCAGGTGCTTATCAACAGGTGTGCAAGCCAAGAAGCACTGGTCAGCATGAATGCTAAGTGAGGTTTATAATCACACTTTGGGTTCCACAGGTAAATACTTCACTGTGCCACTGCTGCACCCTTGTTGGTCACTCCTCATTACACTGGATGATAGTGCAGTAAAAATTCCTTGTTCTACCAGTGTTTAATCTTACTTTCAACAAATCCTGTATTACGCCAGATGGTATTATCTTCGTGTTTCATACCAAGGTTACAAGAAAGCTTGATTTTCATAGAATCATAGAATCATTCCAGTTGGAAAAGACCTTTGAGATCATCAAGTCCAACCACCAACCCTACTCTACCAAGTGCACCCCTAGACCATATCTCCAAGCACCACATCCAAATGACCTTTAAACACATTAAGGGATGGTGACTCAACCACCTCCCTGGGCAGCCTATTGCAATGTCTGACAGCCCGTTCAGTGAAAAAAAATTTCCTAATGTTAAGCCTAAACCTACCCTGGTGCAGCGTGAGTCCGTTCCCTCTTGTTCTATCATTACCTACCTGTGAGAAGAG